GATGAATGGATCAAGAAAATGTGGTATATATACACAATGGAATTCTAAGCCAACTTCTTTGTATTCCCCAAAACCTCTAGTGCTTTTGTAATAACTTTATACCTTCATTTACACTGGCTTCCCAGTGTTGAATACTTTACACCCACACATACTGCTATATGCTTGATCTTCTTTTAAGATGCTATCTAAACAGTCCTTTATCTCTGAAGCCTCTAATATTCATGTCTGTCTACCCTAACAAGTGTTTTGGCTTCTGTTTGCTTTCATAGTACTTTTTCATTACTTTTGTTAGCATCACTTACAGAGGACAATTACAAAGTACATGTGCATTTCTCTTTGTAGGCCCCATGACAATGCTTGGAACTTCTGAGATTTGTCAGAAGTGTTTGCTGAATTAATGCATAAATAATACTAGGGACATTACAGAAATATCCTGAGCTCCTGGATTCAGAAAATTTTTATATATGCACAAACCCAGACCAAGCAGTCATTTGCTTAGATAGCCTCTGGAATTTTCTCAGGAAGGGGCCTCGCTAAGATTAGTTCAGGACCATTGCCATCGGCTATGATGGTGAAACTGGCCGTCTTTCCAACCCACCTGGAAAAGCTTAATTTTCTGTGTTCTCTAAATCATTCAAGTCACAACTTCCTAAGGAGGTCTTTGTTTTGCAATAACTATTTTCCTTCTATGGATTAGCTCTTTTTCTTTGTTTAACTGAAAGTTTGCATTTATACAAACTATGACTTAGGAGATGCAGGATGACTTATTTGCTCTAAGCCTCATGTGAGGAAGTTGTACAGAAGAGGAGATCCTGGAGTACAGACACCATACTTTCCCCTGGTGCTTCGGTTTGGTTCTCCTGGATTCCTGGCTCTTCAGTAATTGTCATTGTGATTGTGAATGCTAGTAGTTAGCAACAGTTAGGTCTGTGGGAAAGCAGCTAGCCTCTGTTATAAGCTGAATGTCTAGGCTTTTTCCAACTGCTTTCTGAGAGAAACCCTATCTTGAATCCACAAATGTTTCCTATGCTATTAAAAGGAAAGGAAATTCTCATAGAATAGTGAGCTATTCTCTAAGACAATTTAGTTCTGAAGCCGATAGAATATTTTACTTATTTAAGAACTCAATACTTTTTTAGACTTAATGATGTTGTTTTCAGAAACATATACTTGATGTGTAGATTTTTAACTCCTTATAAGAGTTCTCTTTATGTGGTAAATTGCCATTTTTCAAAATTTTTAATTTATACATATACACAGATATGTATATAATATATATTTCTGCAATTACAATTTGTTAGCTATTTTTCATAATGAGGAAATTTTAGGGAAGGTTAAGGATACTTTCCAAATGTTCTTTTGATATTGTAGTCTTTCATATCTTTTAGAAATATTGACTTTAGCCCAAACCTAGGTTGGAAGTTCAAGTGATAGATTCTTTCAATGAAAAAGGAAATAATCTTGAGAAATACTTTCTGTCCAAGGTTTTAGTTCAATATTTCAATATTTTATCAAGAAAGCATCTTTCTATAGAGTGCTTCCATAAATCCTTTAGAAGCTGTATGTGGTATAATAACTACAAAAAGAGGAGAAACCTTCAACACATCCTTATGGAGTGTGTCTGGTTTACAATATTGCTTTTATTTTTTTTTACTAACGCTCTGTGATAAGTTGAGGTATTATGTCCTAAATCTTGCCTTTTCAGGATGTTAGTTGTTCAGACTGGAGGGAGAAGCCAACTTTCATAGGCAAATAGGTTCGTTTTTGCTTTTCATTGACTCCCTAATTAAGTGGGGTGATATCCTGGGCCTAGTTCGTGTAGCAACAAGGTAGTTTTTAAGTATCACATATTTAGAGAATAAGAGATAAATAGGTAAAAATAGAACCTGGGAAAGGGAAAAACCTGGAAAAACATTTGCCCATAATGATTTTCAAAAAAACCTGGACACTGAAAATTTGTATCATATTAAAAGTCACTGATGTTGAGTCAGATCAGATAGCAGGTCCTATTCAACGTGGTTTCAAACTTTGATCTCCCTGGATAAGTCTGTTCTTCCTAATACTTGGTTCATCTGATCCATCATTACTAGTTTAAGATATCCTCCTTCATGTTTCAGCTCACACCTCCTGGAAGAGACAGGGGAAAAAATGTGGTGCCTTAAAGCCTTTTTAAACTGTTCCTCTACCTACCATGCAGTTTTATATTATGTAGTATACTTGAATATCTGGAAACATTCCTTATGAGTCCTAAAGGTATTCTGTATAATTGAGTGGAGTAATGTAGAAAATATGAGATGTGGGAAAAGGTCAGTACAGAGCACTTGGTGAAGGTTGGGCCTGAATCCTGTTCTTGGGAGAAGATAGAATTTAGTGAAGCAGAAGATTGTAAGGCACATTTGCTAACACTATGGCATAGCACACGATAGGAAGGCATTGGGTATGTCCCAGAGAGCAGTGACAGTATGGAGAAGAGAGATAAAATGTTTCTCCAAACTGCAGAGTCTAAAAAATTCCACCACTATGTTTGTCAGTCTGTAGGAGATGAAAACTTCCCATTTACAATGACATATTCATTTTTAAATGAAGAAAGGAAAAGCAAGTCAACTATTAGGTTTTGCTAGAGGTAGTGAGAAAGCTACAAACAGCAAAAGCAGATCTCAAATGTTAATCACCTGTGGCACAGTAGTTAACTTAGAATAATATTGAAATGTTTTTGCATCTGACATTCTCCACAAACCTGTCTCCTTTTATGTGTATGCATGCCAGTATATAAATTGCTGAATCCATGTCAGTTGTAAAGTAATGGCACTGAGGGCATCATAAATTACCATGGTGATCCTCAGGAGAAGACACTGTCGTATCTGAATGAGTGTTTCACTTCCAGAGTAATGTATGCCTTCATCTGGCCCAGCAGTCAGCATATTGCCCTGTGTTGATGGATATTGTCAGCTGGAAGCTACACTACATTTCACTGCACAATAAACATGGCTGTCAAATCCATATAAAGTGAAATCAATTTATCCTGTATGGTCAGTGCATTTTAAATGAAATTAATGTACTGTGGGTACGGTGGCAAAAAGGTAGCATATTAGTTATGCATCTTAGGATCCGAGACGTTTCATGTAAGGCATCATTCTGTCTAGTAGGTCTAAAAGAAGAGTTGTTTATAAAGCAAGATTTTTTTTTTTTGCATGATCTCCAGAAAGTGGCTTCTCTGATCTCCTTCCTGTTTAGAAAAACATTTCACAATATTAGCTTTTTCCATCCTTTTATCCTGTCTTTTTTGTTATTGTTGTAAATGATGATCATATTTTTGAAATAATAGCACCCTTTAATGTCCTAATTTATTACTGGCTTTGACACATACAAGCTACATAAGCAAGGTATCTGGAAATAGGAAAGAAAGGCTAGAGATTGATTAGGTGATGTTGTTCCCGTGTAACTTCACTGAACTGAAAGTTATACTAGATAAACAGAAATGTTGGGTTTAATGTTTATTTTGCTTCTAAACTTTTGTGAGTAAGATTTCCAGTTCATACAGCTGGTGGCTGAGGCCCTCCGTCCAACTACTTCACATTTTACTGTAGAATTTCTCTATAACAAGATATTCAGGATATTCTACATGGCAAAGCATACACCGGTGTGTTATACTGGTCAGAAGTATGGAAACAAACAGAGGCTTCCTTTTTCCCTCCTTCCTTTCGTTTCTCCCTCCTTCTCTCCCTTATTCCCCACTCCCTTCTTTCCTACTTCCATGCATATACCAGACACTTCACAGATCCAAAGCATACAATAATGAATGAGCCTCATCTCCTGACATATCCGCAAGGAGCTTTCAATTACTATGCTACTAAATTCAGCCCTTCACAAAGCATAAAATACAAAGATTTACATAGAATTTGATAGATGGGGAAAAAAAATCTCTTAAACAACAGAAAAACACATCAAGACGCTTGAGATAACTACTTCTTAATCTAATTCTTTTGCATATGCACTGAAAACCAAATAACATTTATTGAACACATAATTATTATCCATTATGTGGGAATTCCTGGGTATACAAGTATGGGAGTAACACCATCTCTCATGATCTCATATTCTTGGAGATGAAGTGGTGGAAGGATCAGAGGCAGTCAGTGGGGGAAACAATAAACACTTTGGGGCCTGGGGCCTGGAGCATGAAGATAAGGAGTGAGTGTATGTTGCCTGGAGAATCTTACTGCAAATGCACTGCTTTTGGCCCAAACAACCTTCCCATCTGTCATTCTTCCTCTCTCCCAGTCACCTGCTGATTCTTGTTCATCCTTCCAGACTCAGCTGGGCCATCATATCTCCTGAGAAGCACTGGTGACCATCCTGTCTGGTGCTTGTAACATTTACCACACATCTTTTGTTAGAATTGTTTGCTTCCTTTCCAAACTGCAAGTGCCTCGAAAACAGGAGCTGCTTGATTCACTTAAAGCCTAGCTCATCATTGCTTAGTTAATATTTTTTATTTCATTAACTACCTCATTCACAAAACACCAACAGTTGAATCGGACTTGTAGGACAAATTGGACTTAAGCATCAAGCAACAGGAAAAAGGTCTCCCAAGCCTTGAGAAGATCACAGGCCAACACAAAATACTGTATAGAATTTTTGGCAAATGATGCTAAAATGGACTAAAAAGGCCTGCTTTTGAAGAAATAAATTATAGTAGGAAAGTTTACCAGAGAGTAACACCAGCCATTACTTTAACATCATTAAATGATATGACAGTTAATGATTACCATGAAAGTAATCAAGGTATATAAAAACATGCAAAATTAATTCTTCCCAGTGTCTCTTTGAGGGCTTTGTCAGCATGTCATGTAGAGTTAACATCTGGAACTGTCTTCTGCTTCCACAAGACTGCATAGAACAGAAGAGAAGGGAAGCAGTGGAGCCAGGCAGCAAGCTGTTGCATTAGCCGTATAATAATGCTTTGCACCCATCTTGTTCTTCCTGCCCTAACACTACAGGAAGTAAAGCAATGAATGGCTCTGCAGCTAAACTACAGCAGTATTATTGTTGGCCAACAGGAGGTGCCACTGTGGCTGAAGCACGAGTCTACAGGGATGCCCGAGGCCGAGCCAGCAGCGAGCCACACATCAAGCGACCAATGAATGCTTTTATGGTTTGGGCGAAGGATGAGAGGAGGAAAATCCTTCAAGCCTTCCCTGACATGCACAACTCCAACATTAGCAAAATCTTAGGTAAGTGCAGTGGCCAGTGGCACAGCTAGTGCTAGTGTGTTCTCTCTCTCTCTCTCTCTCTCTCTCTCTCCATCTCTCTCTCTCCCTCTCTCTCTCTTTGTCTCTGTCTCTCTCTCTCTCCCCCTCCCTCTTTCTCTCTCCTTCTCTTCCCCCCACCCCCTGCCCCACCACAAGAATGAAAAGCAGGGGCATAATTGGGCTTCAACTGTAGGTGGCAGGAGTCAAATGAAATACAGCCAGTTGCCACAACAGCCTTTTGTTACCATCTTGTTACCTCTCCCACCACCCGACATACAGGTTTATGAGTTACTGCATACATAGAGCAGGTGGCTAAAACTTTCTTCTTTTTTTTTTTTTGTCAGCCATGGGGCTTGAACTCTGGGCCTGGGCGCTGTCCCTCAGCTCTTCAGCTGAAGGCTCTACCACTGGAGCTACAGCGCCACTTCCGGTTTTCTGGTGGTTTATTGGAGATAGGAGGCTCACAGTCTCTCCTGCCCGGGCTGGCTTTGAACTGCAGTCCTCAGATCTCAGCCTCCTGAGTAGCTAGGATTACAGGTGTGAGCCACCAGCGCCCGGCTTAAAACTTTCTTTTAAGGGCAAAACTATTGCCATGGCAAGGCTAACTGCAAATCTCTAAAGTACTCCTAGTAATATGTTAATATCGTGAATTCAGCCACTCCTGCAGGGACATTGCTAAACAGGAATCCTGAGGGCAAGCTTTATCTACCCTCTCATTCAGGCTTTTAAAATTTATAAGTTGCTATGCAATCTTGGAAAAACTCAAAGACTTCAGTTTTCTGTTCTAGCATTGTTGGTTTCATATGTTCCCCTGCAAGAATTTATGAAGGCTGAGGGGTGAAACCCAAAATAGTGTGAAATTCATGAAGTGCAGAACAATGCCTCTAATGATAACTTTAAGAGTTGCAAAGTAAAGCTACATTTACTTTAATAAGAGATGACGAGTTGAAATTTCATAGCAGTGAGTTGAACACACAGACCACAGGGCAGAGGCCCACTTTGTGGTAAATTGCCAGCGATTCTCCTGTTTCTCAGGATTAAACTCAAGCCTTGTTCTATTAGTGTAAAGCTTGCCTAGCAGAGATTATATAGTTTGGAATTATTGTGCACAACATATTGAACATATTTTATTCAACATGCAGCATTACAGTCAACATGTTTCCTCTTTAAAAAGGAAAAACACAGAAGGCACTGTTCTGTTTAAGCTGTCACGATGTGGCAAAATTGCAAAGAGAGCAGTTTCAGAAGCTGAAAAACATTACAGACTTAAACTGTGGCTTTAATTTTTTAAATGTTTTGTTCAAAAGCAATAAATATTTAACCTGAGTAAATATCGGTGATGTGGACATACACAAATACATGTGTTTTGTCGCTACATAAATAATTTAACTTGATTCTGAGACATTTTGAGTCACTGACCTCTAAGAAAATTTAAAACATATACATAGATCAAATAGTGGTGAAACATTCAAATACACATTTTTCTCTTTTTTTCATTTTGACTTTTGAATTTTAAAGTAGATCCTAACTGTCATGACAATTAAGTGATGTTTTATTTTTAAGATTTTAGGGATGTTATTCTTTTGAATTTAAGTATATTCTAAATCAAAATATCCCTAATGGACAGATTATAATTTTTTTCAAACTAAAAGTCATTCTAAAAGAAATCAGCATTATCTTTTTATTTGTCTCCTGCCATTTTGTTGGTAATATTAGTAAGCTTTCAGATGGGAATAGACCCTCTGCGTTTCGGGTTGGGCAGCCGTGAGGAATCTATATTATTGATATGCATTCTGTGAAAAATGATTTGGAAGGTAGCAAGTCCATTCATTAAGTGTCAACTTTTATACACAAGCATTTCAAGAGTGCCAAGAATCCTCAACTGGGGCTTTCAGCTGCTGGGAGCCAGCAGCACAGAGACTGATCTGCACAGACGATTTGCACAACTTGTGCACAACAATCAGGAAAGAACAGGGATGGATGTGCTGTTAAAGCAGACCAGCATATTGCTGGCTACAGGGAATATTTGTAGAACGTTTCCATTTGTTTAGGTATGAAAAATCTCCACGGAAGAATAGCTAACATCCAGCCTGCACAGCTGTTACCGCTTTATTCACCAGTAAGGCACAAAAATGCAACTTGATACATCTAAAAAAACACATCCCTTCTTTGTCAAGTGTTTAGATGATTCTTTATAAACAATATTAAAGACATGAATACTTTTCCTTCTTCCTGTGTAAATCATATTTAAAATTTTTGTACTTTTATTGGTATAGCTTTGGGTGGACATTTATAGTACTTGAAAATGGTATATATATTTATATATAAGTATATAAATATAAATATATAAACATATATATTTCCAACTGGACCTTCCTGTCTGAAGTTATAACTTCTTAAGTAGAGTTGAGAGTGTGTGTGAGTGCATGTATGTGAGTGCATGCTTGTGCTGATACTAGAGTTTGAAATCAGAGTCTCACACTCTTGCTTAGTTTTTCACTGACAGCTGGTACTCTATTACTTGAGCCAAACCTCCAATCTACCCCGATCTAGCTTTCTTACCTGCTCCCCCTCAGTCACCCAGTTAGAGCATCTCATGGACTTTTCTGCTCAGACTGGCTTGGGACCACAATCCTTAGATGTCTGAGTTGCATCTGAGTTGCAAGGATTACAGGGATAAGGCATCAACACCACATCCACGTGAGTTGAGTTTTTAGAATTGCCCCTCCCCCCCCACTAACAGGGCAATGCCCATTTTTATATATGGAAGAATATCAATATGTGCTGACATTAGAAGTTAGTTTCACCAAACACACTTGGAGTGTGGGAGATGTTTAAATTTCTAGAACGAAGCGAGCTTTTCCTGTGAATGCAGTTATGCACAGAAGCATGCTTAGGAAGTTTTAGACTGTTAACCATTTTAAGAGGAGGAGCAGATGAATTGGAACTCTGGTGTAGAAAATGATCTTTAAGCAGCAAAGATGTATTTTAAAAAAGATGTATTTTAAAAACAATCTATTTAGCACAGAGATAGAGCACTTGCCTACCATGTACAACATCCTAGGTTCAATCCTCAGTATAACACACACACACACACACACTCACATACACACACACACACCACTCAATGGTATATGGTAATGGGAACTACACAAAGTAAAGGCAAAAAAGTGGTGTGAGGTCAGTCTAGTTGTACTTGCCAAAGAATATGTTGCCTTAACCACTGAGCAGTTAAGGCTATTTTTTGTCTAGGCTCTCGCTGGAAATCCATGTCCAACCAGGAGAAACAACCTTATTATGAAGAGCAGGCCCGGCTTAGCAAGATCCACTTAGAGAAGTACCCAAACTATAAATACAAACCCCGACCGAAACGCACCTGCATTGTCGATGGCAAAAAGCTCCGAATCGGAGAGTATAAGCAACTGATGCGGTCTCGACGACAGGAGATGAGGCAGTTCTTCACTGTGGGGTATGTATTTCTGCATGGAGCCACCTGGGCTCTGTATTCCTGAAACTGCAGGATGGCTCCTGATAGTGTATCTGGGAGGGAGATTCAGGAAGGGAGGGGGTTGTGACATGTTGGGGCTTGGCTATGGGAATCTTTGCTGTGTCACAATATACAGATTTGCAACATGGCTCCAGCTCAACTCAAAACAAACCTGTCCCAGCTTACTCTCCCCATTGACAGTCCCTATCATTGTCTTCCAGCTAATCTCAGCTCCTCAGTCCCCACACATGGTTTCTGGTAGTTTATTTAGACAGACACATGGCGGGGGGGGGGGGAGGCGGGGGAATAAAAACCAACTTTAAGAAAATCTCCAGAAGCTTCCTGGCTTCTCTGGGTGGTGCTTCTGACTCTAATCACAATAGTCTGCTTTTGTTGTGGGATCTACCACAAGATAATTGGCCTTGACATTGGTTAGAAGACCTCATTTTTGGCATAAGATCCAGAACTCCTGTTGCAGTAAATTATTCTGTGGTAGAAGCAGCAACAATATGGATTTTCTTGCTTAAATCAGAAACTAGACATGTTTTTGATATCTTCAAGTCTGATTTCATGTCATTTTGTTTAAAAATTAGGTAATAGATTTCTGGTATAAATTTCGACTTGGCTGACTGGCTGTCTACATTCAACAGAGGCCCCTCATAACCACAGTAGTCAGGATAAGTGGGGATGCTGATGCCTGTAGATTCCAGCACACTCTAGGCCTAGCAGTACGGGGGGTGGGGGGGGGCTGGAACCAGAGGACCATTCTGGAGGCCCTGGCTGGATTATCTGGAATCAGAGAGGGAATTGTGAGGGGAGAGGGGTGAGAGAGAGAGAGAGGAGAGAGAGCACAGAAAGGAAGCAATATTCACTGTTGACACAAAGAACTGAGGGCTGTGTGCTGGGCCTGGTAATTAGAAAGTGTCATTTAAAGATGGGAAAAGGGAGACCACATGGAATTAAGGAGCTATTCTTTGCTTAGGGATTCTCCAAAGAAAATACACTTGGACAAAGAGCTGATTTCAGAAGCATATGTTTAAAAGGATAAAATTAACTTGAAATCATAAATAGAATACAAAAAGTCCAACAAGCCAGTGAGAGTACTCTGGGACCGTAGTCTGCATAGTCTATTAGGGTCCTAGAAAGAAAAGTGAGCTTTCCAAGTCTGAACTACTAGGAGTCAAATACTGACCAGTTCACCTGTGAAACGAAACAGGCGATAGTCCACACCCTGTGAGATGTCAGGGAAAACTCTGAGGCAAGGCTTTCACAAGCGCGCGCTACACTGCTTGGTACAATGCTCAGAAAGGCAGACTGTAACACTGCCATTTTGAGTTCATATATATCTCTATTATGGTGAAACCATGTTTTATATCACGTTGAATAACCAGGGAATTTCTTTATACCGCGGCAGAACTTTCTAGGATATAGAGAAGCATAAGACGGTTTACTGCAGATTCCAAACTATTACTAATTTGAGACATATCAAAATGGTCATCAATTTCCTCTGTTTTAAGTGTTTGCTGTTTTTAAAGGAATTCTTCTAACATTAAAGTACAATGAACTATAACTTAGACTATTCACATGGCAGAAAATCAGTGGAAATATTGACTCAGTGTGTCTGTTCAGTAGAATGGGCATAGGTAACAAAATGCAAATTGGAAACTGTGATAAATGTCTTCCTTTAATCCTGTTAGTATGTCCCTGATACAGTGTTTATCTCTTGAACTCAGAATCAAAAGCTTAAACGTGGTATCTTCTGAAAGTCCAGACTTTCTCACAAATCACATCACCTGTAAAAATACTTACGGAGTTTCTTTCACCCTGTTATAAATGGCCGTCAGTGGTAATACTTCTGTTTTCTGCTACTATGTGAATTTTCTGCTAATGTGAATTATAATACTAGTTAGTTTTGTTTCCTTTAGAAAAGAATATATTAAAACAGCTCTGGATCAAAATGTCCCAACACATACCAGTGCTTATAAGATATATAATGAAAATAACTTGAATAATATCTACCATTTGTGGTGTGTCTACACTGTAATCATATAGTTTTCCAAATAAGATCATGGAATTGAGGTAGTAGTAAAAGATCAAAGATTCAGATTCATGTCCCCACCTCTGTCTAGTTCAACAACAAAGAAACAAACTCTTTCACCATGTTTCCACAATGTACACCTCAGGGCCCAATCATTAGCAAAGCTGTGCCATTTGAGCAAGGGCTCTCAGAACCTAGAAAAATGAGGCATGAGTAATATATGGTGCATAAAATGAGCTCTGAAAGGTAGTGACCAAGGCTCCCTGACAGTGAAGAGCCTGCTGTAGAATTCTAAGTTAGGACCATGGAATGAAGCTATAGAATTACAGGCAATGACCAGAATGTTCTGCTTTTTAATCCCCAATATTAAACATTTCCCTCTACTTTGCTTTGGTAATATTTGCTGTACAATGCAAAGTATTATTTCCACATATGGATTTGTATTTTTGTTTAAGTAGTTATATTTGATAGATTATTAGCTCCCTCAGCTTCATCTTTGGAAATTGATCTTCATTAAATGTGAAGTTACAACAAGAGGAGCAGGGAGAAAAACAAACAAAACTTTCCTACATTGCTATTGACTTCTTGTTGGACTAAGATCAATTTTTATGGATGATTTGGAAAAGACTTGCATAACTTCCAAGCCAATAAAACAGCATTAGCCAACATTTTTGTTCATTTTACTGACTATACAACTGTAACTGATGAGCTAAGATTTTTTAACTTAGCTATTATAAAATGGATTTGTCAATAACATGAGATAGATTTAGCTTTTACCTGGGATCTAAGCCCTTTAATTGGAAAATTAACTATTAGAATTTAGTAATAATCCTTATAAAATTAATGTGGAAATTATATTCTATGGATTGCTATAGCTCCAATTGTCTCTTTTCCTGAATAATTATAACTAAATGTCCTTTTTATTTGAAACTGTGCTTAGTAATAAAACTGTAAACTGGTGGAAAATTATTCAGGTACTCTAAATATTAAATTTGAGGTTTTTGTGTAATAGTAGTAAATTATTGAATACTGAGCTTATTCAGTATACTCTGCAAAGCGAACTCTACAGATTACTGAGGATATGTCAGATTTACAAGATAAGCTGTATCATCCCCCTTCCAGTGTTCAGAGATGCTACATAATTTGTTCAAGGCCACACAGCTAGCGAATGGCAGAACTGCGATTTAAACCAGGCTTATGTGAATGTGAAACATATGCCTTTTGCTATTTCACATCCCTCTCAATTAGAGTCTACAAATTGTTTAGAGCCTGTGAAGTAGAGTGGTGACGAGCACCAGTTCTAGCGTCAGACTGTTCTGGCTCGTTGCTCCATTTTCCTCTTCCTTGCTGTAGGATCTAACACATATCAATCTTTATTCCTCTGAACTCTCTACTTGCCCCTGGACAACTTACTTAAACCCTCTGCTTCCTAGTTTTTTCATTTGCAGAATGAGAATGGCTATAATGACAGTAATGCCAACAAGGAAACTCCATCCTGAATCTCAAGTAACTTTATATATGAAAAGTGTTTAGAACAATGTTGCCAATTTAGAGACTATAAGAACCTGAAGGGTTAGCAAACAATGGGACTTTGCTAGAAAACACATGCAGTTCCTTTACAATTGGCAAAAACCACCCTACACCCCAGAAATATTCTTGTGATTTGAACACCATGTGGTGATACTGAGCTCCATCCAGAACACCTTTATTTGCCTACCTTGGTTCATACTTCCACGGGCATCCCTGACTTTTGTTTGGACATGCATGATTTGTAAAGCCCAATACCTGCCTACTACTCCTATTTGTGAAATCTGCAGTGTTTTGACTTTGAAATTGATTTGCAAAGGAAGGAAAAAATGCTTTCTAGGAAAGTAGTTCCTTGTAGACAAAGCTTGAGCATGCTGGCTCGATTTTTCCCTTTTGTTCATTGATTAGCCAGTCAGTTGGTAAGAGGTTATTTGGAATCAGCTAGATACCTAACTCCATACTATATTAATATAGCATTAAGCATTATTTCTGTCTACATGAGATTTCAAAAAGCAGACACATACATGAACAGATTATTAGCAAATAACAGTCAGTTGCACACACAGAGAACATAGTGTATACTGTGTACAAACAGAATATAATCAAATGTTGACCTGATGCTATAGATAATGCCAAGTAAAACTGAGATTACTATGCAATAGGGCCAACCAACCTTGGAGCATCTTTGAGAAGTAGACTTGGGGTTTGGGAAGGTCAGACTGGCAGAAAAGACATCTTTGTTTCCATATAATGGAGACTATGAGAACATTGGGGAAATCTGAGATGTTCAATTAAAAAATAAAAAAAGATGAGCTTCGGAATTTTCCCTGGCAGTAAAGAAAATGTAAGAGGATGAGTAGAGCAACATTTTGAAAACTAGACTTATTCAGTGATGTTCACTTGAAATTTCAGACCTTTTTCATATTGATAACCAAAGGTCAGTGTAAACCTTAGCTTATGATTTTGCAACCACAAAGCAGTTATAATTTAAAACAGCCTCAGCATTGCACATCCAGCCACTCCTAGAGTGCTTGTTGCCTTCTGCTTTGGCTCCTGGAATGCAGGAGCCCTCTCCACCTCTCATGGGAACTCGTTCCTATATGGAACATTTCCCAATGACAGAAAGCAATTTTTGCTAAACTAAGCCCCTCCTAGATCTTTTCTTGTTTATGAGAACAGATTCAAGCCTCTAAAGATGGTTATATTCATATCCTTTCCTATTACCCTCCTTTCTATTTATCTTATTTTAGAACATCTCTTCCTGTCTGGAATAGGTTTCCTAGAGTTTTGGCTTGCTTTTTTCCCCTCTCTCATTCACCTAGTTTATGAATGAATGAATATTCATTTATTCTATTCATTCAATAGGTGTTATTGAGTGCCTTCTATCTTGCAAGCATTGTCTAGATTCTGGAGCTATTTCTCTGAAGATTCCTGTCCTCATTCAATCAAACAGTTAATTTTTACAAATAGTCATAAGTACTTTAGAAAAAAGGTAAAGCAAGGAAAGTGGCTGGAAGCTTCAGAGGATGGAGACAATGTTAAATAGAGTGGCCAGAGGAAAACCTCACTGAGAAGGTGAGGGCATTAGACCCAAGTAGGTAAGGGGGCAAGCTGGGCAGGTATCTAGAAGTGAGCAGAGAAAACAGCAAGTGCCACGGTCTTGCGGCGAAACTCTGCCTCACTATTCAAAGAGGAATAAAGAGGAGAGAATGCCAGGGGCATAGGAAAACCAGTAACAGATGTCAGAGAGATGACAAGCCAAATTGAATGAAAGATTGTAGGCCATTGTAAAAACTTTCAACTGGACTCTGAATGAGATGGAAAAATATTGAAGGATTATAACTAAGCAACACCATGATGTCCTTTGACTTTGGTTTCAAAGAAGCACTCTAGCTACTGTTCTGAGACTTGGCTGAGAAAGGAATGGCCTGCAGGAAGTTCAGGCTCTTGCAAGAGATGGCAGCTTAGACCAGGAGTATAGGCGTGAAGGTGGTAAGAAATAGATGGGCTCCAGATACTGCCTTAAGTATTAACCGACTATGTTTTCTGGTTGGTTGTTTATATATAGGATTTGAGGACTGTCCTGAGACAGTTCCTTGTCTGATAAAAGTTAAGTAAACGTTATCTGAGCTGAGTATGGCTGTGTGAAGACCAGACATGTGGGAGAAAGATCAGTTCAGTTTTGCACCTGTAAGATCAAGGATGGTGTCCAGGCATCCAGATAAAAATAAGCATTTGTAGATGTCTGTAATTTAGGAGTGAGGTATTTTCCAGGTTTTAACTCAGGACCTTGCACTTGCCCACCTTGTTTAGAATTCTGCCACTTGAGCCACACTTCCAGGCTGGATTTTTTTTTTGTCAGTTGTGGGGCTTGAACTCTGAGCTTGGGCATGTCTTTGAGTTCTTCAGCTCAAGGCGAGTACTCTACCACTTGAGCTACAGTGCCACTTCCAGTTTTCTGGTGGCTAATTGGAGTGTCTCACGGACTTTGGTGCCTGGGCTGACTTTGAACCATGATCCTCAGATCTCAGCCTTGAGTAGCTAGGTTTACAGGCTCCGGCGCCCAGCCGGTTATTAGATGGAGTCTTGTAGACTTGTCTATCAAGACTGGCTTTGATCTTCTGGATCTTGGTCTCCTAAGTTTCTATGATTTTAGCGCTCATCCTAGATAAGGTTTAATGTCATAAAACTGGGCAAAATCACCTGGGAAATTTAGGCCCTTGTACCTCAGAGACCAAGTCCTAAGGTGCTTCAGTTCTTAGAAAAGTGACCAGCTATATCAAATGATGCTCACGGTATAAGTCAAGTAAGATGCGAACTGAAAACTGACACTTGGAGATTGTGTGGAGATTGGTGGTCTGATTCCAGGCTGTTTCATCATAGTGTTAGGAGTAGTTGAAATGAATTTAAGGAAGAATTGAAAGGAAGGAAATCAGAAAAGTCGAACAATAGCTGGCGGGGATGTGAGCCAAGAAAGTTTTGTTATTTTCTTTTGAAAGGGGCTCTCCTATAGCTGGCGTGGTGGGAATGGCCCCAGGGAAAGGGAAACTTGATGATACAATGGAAGAGGCAATGGCTAGAGAGCCTCCTTAGTATGCAATAGTAAATAGCTTGAATGGAGCAGCAGAAGCATTGGCCTTATATTGATTGGATATGAACTGATTCTTAGGGGGACAGGGACTCTGATACAGAGGCAAGTCAGTGCACAAGTGGGAGCTTATGATTTGCTTTTTTCTGTCCCTCCATGAAAGGAAAAGCCAGGTCATTGGCTTGAAGTAACAAGGGAGATGAAGTTGGATATTTGAGCACTGAGCAAACATGAAATCATTGTCTAGAAAAGAAGGCAGAGCAGGCCAGGCGAATGTAAAGTATGATGGCTGGACAGCACCAGAAACTAATTTAAAATTCATGTTTGTAAACTGAGAATGGTGAGCATGGTGTTGTGTTTTCTCCAGCCAAGTTCATCTGTGTGCCTGAACAGAGTAGGCAGAGAGCTATATTTAACTTGAGTCTTTTATCAGGTAAGAGAATTGAGAGTGTGAGGGAAAGAGTAACCACAGAACTTACCACTGGGTAAAGAAGTGAGTGAGGGCCAACCACAGAGGGTACAAGTGAGAGCAATGAACACAGGCTGGAGGATCAGGAAATTGTAGAGCTTCATGGGGCGGCAGGATGCTGGGAAGATCTCCTGTGGTGGCCAGACAGCACAGTGTGTAAGATCCAGATGAATAGTGAGTGACAGACAAGACCAGCTACATACAAGAGAGTAAGCACCCAAGACAAGGGCAGGGCCAGATCACCACCTCGTAGTGGAGGTCAGGAAATGGAGTGACGAGGTGGCAGAATGACCAGGACACAGATGGTGAAGCTGTCAAGAATTATGGTGGGCAATGTCAGAGAGAGCAATAGTGAGTCCGGTGCTAACATCCTTAAGGAAGGAGTAGGCAGGAGTAGGTAAGGGTGTTCATGGGTAATACAGTCAGATGACACAAGATTTTTTTTTTCAACTGTACAGTATTCAAACTACAGTGAAGATAACACCCATCTGCTTACCAGTGTCATTACAATGTCTCACGCCACCAATCAATTTAAAACAATACTCTTGAGCTCTTTAAAACCAATCTTTCTTGTCTTTTGGTGAACTATCACATTGGTTCTTAATGGCAAGTGCTAGCCAAACATTGCCATATTTGCCAAGTACAAAGAACTCTGCTTGTAGTTGCAAATTCATCAGCAAATCACTCCATTGTATTATTTAACCTCCAACCACAGCATTAGCTGATAGTCCACAGCATTGGACTGTCAGTGCCAGGACTCCTCAGGGGAACACTTTTGTCATATTCTTGTCATTTACTTAGGATGCCAATGTCATTTACTTAGAAATTCTGGGGAATCAAGGGCCAGAGTCATAGAGAAGCTCATGTATATAGAGGTTTGCCCTCTGTTTTATTTTTTATGTTTATTTTTTTCATCTACACAGGCAACAGCCTCAGATTCCAATCACCACAGGAACAGGTGTTGTGTATCCTGGTGCTATTACTATGGCCACGACCACACCGTCACCTCAGATGACATCTGACTGCTCTAGCACCTCGGCCAGCCCAGAGCCCAGTCTCCCTGTCATCCAGAGCGCGTATGCTATGAAGACAGACGGAGGAAGCTTAGCTGGGAATGAAATGATGAACGGAGAGGATGAGATGGAAATGTATGATGACTATGAAGACGATCCCAAATCAGACTATAGCAGTGAAAACGAAGCCCCGGAGGCTGTCAGTGCCAACTGAGGAGTTGTTGTTTGCTGAATTAAAAAAAAATACTCTGACATTTCACCCCCCTTCCCCCTACAAAAAAGTTCTTAAAGAGCCCGCATGCATTTGTGGCTCCACAATTACATCAGCAGAATGGTCTTAATTGTTTCGTAAAGTGTGAGACAGATTAAGTTTTCCCTGATTTTTCATGAACTTGAGTTTTTTGTCGTTATTGTTATTGTTGTTGTTGTTGTTTTTTAATTTAGGTGAAGACATATTAAATATGAGACACCAGGACTTGAAAACTTATCTCAACCCATAGCTGTCTTACAAGTCTTATATTTTTGTCTTACATTTTTTTTTCCCTTTGGATGTTGATAAAGGTTTAAGTTACTGTTTTAGATGGGGTTAAACATTCTCACTCAGGTATGCTGTGCCGGCCTACAGGTTGTGAATGTGTTTTTATTCTGAATTACTTTAGAAAACAACAAGATTTTGTATTGTGAAACAGGACGAGCCCACAGCGCGTGCAGCTGCATATAGAGCATATTCAAAAGGCCTCGGAATTCCTTTTTTTTTTTTCCACATGTAGAGTTAAACCTTGAATGTGCCAAACTTTTTCATAACTTTTGAATCTTAATATTTTAAAAGTCTTAAACGAGACACTGCAAAGTCTTAGACAATCTTTGGCATCTTAAAATAAAATAGCAAACCACACCTTCTTTTTTTATTTTATTTTATTTTTCCAGAAAATGGTAAAGTACTCAGGAATCTGGAGACAAGATGTAAAGAATGCATGAGGTTGCCACAGTGCACGGATCCAATCGTGTTTGCCTCTTTTGTGCCATCAGTGCAGGGCGTGGAATGACACACACCAGACACCAATATGGAGGTCTTCTCGGCCCGAGGCCACCTCTCACTACATCCATTTTCCCCTTTGCCTTTAACCCTGACATTCAAGCTTTGACACATTTTCTCTTAAATAATTTATTCATTCCAGAATGTCATGGGTCTACTTACTATTTATTTAAAAATTATTGGTGGCATTAATTTAATAATTTTTAACCCTCCTTCCCTGAAGAACTTTCAGCCCTTTTTTTTAACCTCCCTCTCCTGCTAGATACAAGAGGTGAATGTCCCCAGAACATCTGGAAACATTTCGAAAACAAGATACTATCAAATACCTGCATTGTTGCTTTGAATGATGAGTGTACATCTGGTTTCAGGCTGTGTGTTGGAGTGAAGGGGTACAGTCTCACACTTAAATATGTATGCCCTCAAGGGTCACTATGACCTCTAATCTATTAGCAGAGTTCTCCCCCAGTTCACATTGCAGAAAGCAATGGGTTGTGCATCAGTGGCACTTCCCCTGAATTCCACTCAGCAGAGAGGGTCAATAGTGGTACCTGCTAAGTAAGAGAGTCTTGTAGCTCACCTGAAGCCCAACGCTCCTGGGCCCTGTGGGCAGGCTACAGAGGAGCTGTCGTGGGATGGCACCTTTACACAGTTGCTTTTCCAAGCTGGCACATCTGGGGGGATCTTTGCAAAATTGCTAGGATGTAAGAAGCCATATGACAGCCTCAAAACAAAGATAAGAGGCAGATAGTCATGAACCAGAGAATGAAAGAAAACTATAAGGAAGGAGAAGGGGGAAATACATTCCCTATATGGTATGTTCCTACTGCTAACTCTGGGGAATGGACAGTGTGCGAGGCAGCAGACAAGTTCCTCTGTCTGATCCTTTTCTGAATGGGGGACCTGATCTCATGTGAACAAAATGAACTGCACTTGTCATTCAAGGCATGCTCTGGAGCATGGGACTTGGGCTGGGAGGCTGCAAGGGTCCACTCCTCTTCTCCTAAATGCAGGGAGCTCAGCTCTGCCACGCTGACCTTCCATTCTGAACCTTCTTGATTGCCTCTAGGAGAGCCTCACCATGCAGAATGGGTCCGTGGGAGGGTGTCAGTGAAGGGGACAGTTTGCCTCATAGAGGATAACCCAGAAGCTCATTGCCAGGACATAGGAACAGCCCCATCAGAGTTCTTGAGCCATTTTGTCACTTGGAAGAAAATTGTATACCTTCATATTTATTTAAAGAGTGCTCCAGGCCATACCTAATAGCAATAAATAGGTCTAGCCAAGATCTGGCTCTGTTATTAGCTGGGAGTGCGCTCTATGAGCTGTTAAGGTACTGATAGGAATGTTTGTTCTTAATATTGTTTGGGGATTGGAGTTTTGTTGTTGTACATTTATTTCAAATGAGGAGGAGATCATTTTTCTTTAAAAAATGAGTATTTATTATGTCTTACTGATTTCTTTGATTATATACCTCTCCTCCTTAGTTCATTCTCATGTTTTTGTTTTTGTTTTCTCTCTCTTTCTCTTCGGTTTCTTTGGCTTTTGCTGTCACTCCATTTTTTTTTTTTTACCATGTTGCATTGGTAGAGCTCTGTATGGCTAGCATTGTATTGTATATAATTAATTTTGCACAAAAGGCAAACATTTAGCATAGTAGGTTAATTTTGTTTGTTTTTATGACCATGCCAAAATAATATTCTGGGCTGGTGGAGAACAAAGGACTGTTCTTTAGGACTGAAACTTGATTTTGCTTGTAGTAAGAAGAAGAAAAAAAAAACAAAAAACACACACACTCACAGATGTTGTTTCGTAAGTGTTATAAGCACTGGATATAAATGGTATTTTTTATCACTTCTGACTAATGTGAAACTGTTGTACGAAAACTACACGAACAAAAGTCATCTGTTTCGACTCGTGTGGGCTTGCCTCACAGTTGCCGGATTTGAGTCATTTTTATGTCTTGTTATTTCATTTATTTATGCAAAATACATGTGTGTATGAACACTTTGTTTTAGCTCCAGCTCTGCCTCAGTACAGGGGTTCAGTAACTTTTAGCTATGTCCTTCAAAATGAAAAGCTATTCAGGACTGATCTGATTGTAAACGCCCCTTTCATTGGCTCAGACAGACAGTAAGGCTGTATCTGAATCTAAATTTTGTGCATACACAGCTTATTCTATTTATTAGCCAAGTTTGGCTCTAAATATCCATGGGAAAGAAGAATGACAATCATAAGGATTACTTCATTTTATTTCAGTGGGGCTTAAACAAAGTTCTTATGACTTTACCATCTCATTTTAGATTTTTTTTCTAATTGTGTAAATATAACATAGAAATAGAATTTATTTTTGGTTCATGAATTCTTGGTGAGAAGTAAGTTATACGTTTCCTTTTTTTTGTTCTCTGTCCGTATGTGTGGGACTATGCTAAAGGCTGATGTATTTCTGTGCCCATGAGGGCAGGTAGCGGGCAGCCTGCAGCCCAGGTAGCACAGCCCCTCCCTCGGCTTCTTTGGCAGTTGGGAAACCCAGGTCCACAGACTCTTCCCTTGCTTTCTTAGATTGATGAATTGCACGTTCTCCATTTCCAGTTTGGCTAGGAGAGAGTCGATTTGCTTGGTGAACCCACAGAAACCTGTGTTGTGTGATCATTTCATGGCAAGAAGCATGAGTTACCCATTTTAAAGGTGAAAATCTGTGTGTCTGACTGGCTATGATCAAAAACCCTGCCAAGCCAGTCAAAGAAGGTTAAGAAACTTTATTCAGTGTTTCCTGTCCCATAGTATCTTCAAATCAAAGGTCAAGAACTTACACATTAGGGTCTTGTTTGTCATCGGGAATAAGGACACTGGTAGACAATCCTCTCCTTAGAAAAAATGGGCCATATGGAAAAAGAAGGAAGGAAAGGAAAAAAGGAAGGAAGGAAGGAAGGGAAGGAGGGAGGAAAAGGAAAGGTTCATCTACGGACATGAGCAACCAGGTCAGCAATTTCTTTACTTCACAGAAGCTTTGTTGTCCCCGGTAGCTGACTCAACCTTTCAGGAGCGCATCATCAGTTTGCTCTATTTGGTATTTGATACCCTCTAGCCTTGTCCTCAAGCCTGATTTGATTTGCCAGGGTCCTAACATGGACTCCAAGGCCAATGTCTGAATTCAGGTGTGGGACTCACTGTGCTATTGAGCTTGTAAAATTCTGACCTCCCCTGGACATGAACCCCAGGAGTGTTTGAAAGGGTGTGATGACTCTCAGGCTGAAATTAAAGGCTAAATTCTCTGCTTTAGGAAGCTAGGTGGTTCCTTTGGTTTTCACCCTCCTGAGCCAGGAGTTTCAGGCACTAGCTGAAAGCTTGGATTGTCTCCGGCCCCTTAACGGCAAGGTGGCCTGGTCCCTTGAACACCACAGCTGAGGCAGCTGCTCTCAACTCATTCGTTTTGCAAAGAGTTGATTTCCACCAACTCCTTAGGGAAAGGGGGAAAAAAGAATCACTTCATAGTTTTCAAACCTACAAGAAGTCCTGTACCAAGTGCCAACAATTGCAAAGAAATGCAGCTAGAGGAATGTATTTAAATGACTGGGTCTTCCTTTTTTAATAAGCAAGTGACAGAAGTGGTGGCTGTGGCCTTGCCTAATGTTGTACACATTGGTCCAAGGATTGAGTTGGCACTTGAGCTCACCTCTCAAAGTATAATAATATCATATGACCTCACTTGTCCTTTTACAAAAGCACTTGCATCATTTCCTTAAGCCATCTGTCCCCTGACGTGTTTTCTCCCTTAATAAACAGCTCTGTTATTCCTGCCAATCACGTTCTGTTTCTGATGCCATATACTGCCCTGTGCTAATATTGATATGCAAACACATTTCCCTCTCACCCCCAGCCCATTGTTTACCTTGCAGAAGCTCATGAACAAGTACTGGGAATGCCAGTACCTTTAGGGCAGAGTGAGGGGGTGGGTGAGGTAGGGGCTAACGGTCTGGCTTCTGCAGGGGGCTTGCCCAATGGATGTGGGTGACAACAGGAACACTTGAAAGCAATTTGGTGACATTTCTGGCTCACAGTTTCGTATTCCTGAAGAACCACAAGCAGATAGTGAGGCCTCAGTGCTGGTCCTCTTGGAGTATGGGGAATGTGCAAATATTTAACTGTCTAGTGTGCCGCACATTGCAGTCTGCTCATGTGCATTCTCCGTTTGTCTTCCTTTGTCATATGTGTTTTTGCTTTTTTTTTGAAACTGCAGTCTTTATTGTATCCTTCTCCAGCTTGTTGCAAATTAGAATGCTTAGCATTTATGTTCATTCATTATTGTATTTGCCATGTAAAATTTTTTATTACCTTAGACAAGCTTATAAGCTGTTACTACATAACTTATCTTACTGTAACTCTTTTATTTCCCCACATTGTAATTTGTTTGTAATGTATATTGTGAGATTGTATTCTATGTTAATTTAATCAGCACAATTCACTGACATGCTGGACTGACATGCTGGCTGCTGTTTCAAAGTGTAAAGTTTGTGTAGGGCTGTTGGGACAACCGCAACGCTGTTGTCAAGGTACTGTGCTCTGGTTTCTCTGGCAACACTGTGGGTGTGACCCTTGAGATTCTGGGGACATTTAATACACCCTTGAGCAAAATTTAACTGCAGATTTTCTTTGTAGAAATTCTATGTATCATGCAGGTACCTACTTGGCCCATGGCTGGTAACTATTTGGGCAATTAGAAAACGAAAAAGCAAAAACAACAAAAAAAAAAACAAAAAAAACCTAGTGTCTATTGCTGCTTTGAATATGTTTGAAAGTCTGAAAATGTAAATAGTTTATCAAAAAA